TGTGTGGTGTGTGTTTGTGTGTGTGTGTGTGTGTGTGTACATGTACGTGTCTATACATACATATGTATTTGCATATATGTTATATTTGTGTGTACATATATATATATATTATATATATATATATATATATATATATATATATATATATATATATATATATATATACATAAATATATGTGTGTGTGTACGTGTATATGTATATATACATACATAGGTGTTTGTATACATGTATGTGTGTGTGAGTGACATGATATGTAACATGGATAAAGCGCACTGATTTCCTATTTATCATTTGCATTCGTGCTCACAAAGCAAGTCGTTTTCGCAACAGCAAATCATATTCTCACCATCAAGTTAAAAGATATACGAAATGTGCAAAATCGGCTTTCTTACCACGAAGGTTGTCCACACGCCACTCTCATTGCGTAAATTTCTCAGCGATTCCGGCAGCGTCCAAGGAGGCCAAGGGAATTCGACCTCCCAGCCCTCCAGGTCACCGAGGTCACCGAGGTCATCTCCCATCTTTGGTCGTGTGTTCGCGTGAAGTCACAAAGCACACTGGAGTTAGATTCTCCCCTTACGAAAGAATTTGAAAATCGGATGTCAGAGAAGTGACTCTGCCGCGACACTGGAGTTAGACTCTCCTCCCCTTACGAAAGAAGTTGAAAATCGGATGTCAGCGAAGTGACTCTCCCGCGAAGGAACGTGAAGTCAGACGCCGTGACTTCGCTTCTAAGTTCCTCCCCGGCGGACGATCCGTGAGGGAAGCCTGGCTGAGGCGAGGGATCTGAGCGCGACGAAGCGAGCGCCAAGGAGGTCGCCGCCGTCTTAAGAAAGGTGCTTCTCTCTCTCTCTCTGTCTCTCTCTTTCTTTACGTCTGCGCAGAGGAGAGAGGGGGGAGGGAAGAGAGGGAGAAGCTGGTGTGTGTGTGGGGGGGGGGGGGAGGTGGATACCGTAATGCCCTCTCTGCAGGTAATTGGTTTGTCTCTATGCAGGTAATTGGGTTTCCTTTCCCGGGTGATGTAAATCCTAACAATAATCATTGATTTATATTTCTGCTCTTCTATGAATCTCATTACTCCACGTTATTTTCTGAAAGTAATCCTCATCATATTTTTAGACGAAGCAAACTAGTGGTGAGTAACATCATATGAAAAGCATCATTATTACTGATATCATTAATATTGCATTTGACTAATTTTTATTTTATTCTATTGCATTTTATTTGTATTAGATTTTACTTATATCATTAATAATCCTGTGTTGCAGGCATCAAAAAATCTTTCCATATAGTCTTTAGTGTATAATATCTCCGTTTAATGTGCTTTTGTACCTTTTGTCTTTTTGTCATTACTTACTATGTTATTTCTCTTATTGTTATTATTATGTTCATCATAATTATTAGTATCGTTATGCCAGTTACCTTTATTGCTATGGTTATTCTTTTGATAATAATGAATATAATGATAAAGATATTAATAACAGCAACAAAATAATGATAATAACAATGATATTAATGATAATGATAACAATAATAATAATAATAAAACTATGACTATTGATAACGATAATAATGATAATAGTGATAATAATGATAACAACAACAACAACGAGAATAATAGCAGTAATAATAATCCATTCATTCCTTAAGACAATCTTCATTAATGTCGTCAGTTCATTATAATTATTTTTGTTAATTCATTCATTTATTATGTCTTCAATTATTGTATTTACCTTAAATATTTTTTTCTTTATTGCATCATATACTATATATATATATATATATATATATATATATATATATATATATATATATAAACATTAATGCCATTTTTTACTATCAGTCATTAATCATTCATTATCATGATCTATTAACTATACAGGTTTTGGAAGACTATGTAAACTCAGTTCATATTCCCCTTTGTTACATATTTCGGTCACCAAAATAATCACTTAAAACACAAGAGAAACACACACAAAACAAGACAGAAA